TGACAACAAGTTATTTCGCTTACCGTGGTGTCACGTGAGCGTCTGGGCATGTGAGGGAGCGGCGGTGGATTTAAAAAACCTTTATTTAAGGACACCGGCTCTTTATGAGTGGAGGGTGTGTGTGTAGCGGCTGTGAGCTCATCCGAGCTTACAGACTGGCTAAAAACAGGCGTTTTGATCTTTGAAAAATCATTTATTCAATTCCTGTGTCATTTATACACACATCCTCCGCAGACCGTCATTTCTTAAAACTTCTCCCCCGTGAGCTCTGCGGTTTGTTTGCTCCGAGCGCCGTCTGCAGGCGATCTCTGGGGAAAACGCTGAAGTGCAGGCTGCCGGACTGAGGAGGGGTGGTCTCTGGCGGGCGGGGCTGGTGGTGGAGCTGGGCGAGACGAAGCTGCTGCTGCCGTGGAGCGTCGATGTCTCTGCCTCTGCTTTTGACGATCTCTCCAGCGGGCTGGAGGACGGAATGAGCCGCGCGGCTAGATGAGATGGCGTACAGCTTCCGACGTCTCCTCCGACTGCTTCGAATTCGTCAGCATGGACGTCAAGCTGCTTCCGAACAGCGCGTCCGATGAGATGGGGCCCTCCATCCGGTCTTTGTGCAGCTTTTCCGGCAGCAATGGAGAGTGACGGAGCCAGATGGAACGTTGGATTACCGTCATCCATGCTACAATCCTCGACAGGCAACCCGAGGGAGCGGCGCACATGTTGAGGATGGCGTCTGCCGATCTACACAGGGAGCTCTTAGTCTCCTCCGGCAGGTCTGAGGTCTCAGCCTTTTCGACATGCTAAATGCTAGCAGCGCATGTTGTTGCTAACTGCGGTTGCCTGAAAACACGTCGGTGGGCTCGATTGGAGAGCTTTGGTCGCCGTCTGGTTCCTCCGGAGGGACGGGACGCTGCTCCGACCTGGACAGCTTCGCTCCGGAAGCTTCCGCGAGGCTTGGCTCCAGGGGAGGGAACCGAGGAATAGCGTCAGTTGCCTTACAGAAGGAGTTCTTTGTCTCCAAGGCAGGTCTGCGGCCTTCAGTCCCTTGGACATGCTATATGCTAGCAGCGCACGTTGTTGCTAACTGCGGCTGCCTGGAAAAACACGTCAGTGAAAAATAACCTTTCCGCCGATCATCCGAACTGGCGGGAAAAGGCGAGGGACGTAGAAAAAGGGGGTCCCTTCATGTCAGCCTCCTCCCGGGTTCCGCCGGGCAACCCCTGAGGGCGCTGTCGGCCGGGAGCGGTGTGATCGCCGATGCGAAAACGAGGTGGGATGGGGTGAGCATTCACTCAGCCCCCCTCCACCTACACTACGCTCCCCGGGAGGGAATGAGCAGCGGGGGCTGCAGCTGAGCACACCTTGCCCCGGAGGAACCATCCGGTTCGCCCCGAGGGTCGGCGATAAGAGGAAAAAACACAAGATGGCGTTGTCCAGCGTGTAGTGACCTGTCACTGGGAAATGTTCCACGACGCTTACCTTGGAATAAGACTGCTGTCATCTTCTCCTCGGGGAGGAGAACTCACCGGACGACCGGAGGTCGACTGCCGGGCCCAGCATCCTTCACAAGGTTGGTCATTTACACAACTTATCTTCTTTGTTCTTCTGACAGTGCTATATTAGCTCGCTGAAGAAAAAATGGGAGCCGATTTCCCGCTCTTAACGTAATTTATACGGACCGGGTAGGGCCCACACAGCAGGTGGGCGTGGACTAATTTTTTTCAGTGCTTATGCTCTGCATAACGGGATAAACCCACTAAAGCGAAGGCCTTAAAGGGCGAAGCTTATATGACATAGAACGATATGTTTGGCGTAAAAGCAACACAGCTCATCACCCTGAACACACCATCCCCACTGTCAAACATGGTGGTGGCAGCATCATGGTTTGGGCCTGCTTTTCGTCAGCAGGGACAGGGAAGATGGTCAGAATTGATGGGAAGATGGATGGAGCCAAATACAGGACCATTCTGGAAGAAAACCTGTTTGAGTCTGCAAGAGACCTGAGACTGGGACGGAGATTTATCTTCCAACAAGACGATGATCCAAAACATAAAGTCATATCTACATTGGAATGGTTCACAAATAAACGTATCCAGGTGTTGGAATGGCCAAGTCAAAGTCCAGACCTGAATCCAATCGAGAATCTGTGGAAAGAGCTGAAGACTGCTGTTCACAAACGCTCTCCATCCAACCTCACTGAGCTCGAGCTGTTTTGCAAAAAGAATGGGCAGAATTTCAGTGTCTCCATGTGCAAAACTGATGGAGACAAACCCCGAGAGACTTGCAGTTGTAACTGCAGCAAAAGGTGGCGCTACAAATTATTAACGCAAGGGGGCCAAATAATATTGCACGCCCCACTTTTCAGTTTTTTATTTGTTAAAAAAGTTTGACAAATCCAATAAATTTCATTCCACTTCATGATTGTGTCCCACTTGTTGTTGATTCTTCACAAAAAAAATTAAATTTTATATCTTTATGTTTGAAGCCTGAAATGTGGCAAAAGGTTGAAAAGTTCAAGGGGGCCAAATACTTTTGCTAGGCACTGTATGTCAGTTGTATTTGATTTATGCATTTTAAGCTTTTATTTATGTGTGAGGTTTGAGGATGCTTTAATTAAAACCCTCTGTCACTGAATTATTTTTTAACCATCACATAAAAATCTAAATGCTGTAAATAATTTTTATGGATAGGAAACCTAAATGGAATATTTATGTTAGAAATTGAGTAAGATAGATAATGTAAACGTTTGAGTTTGTACATTGAGTTCTGCAGACTGTATTATTAATTAGTCTTGATTGCTTAGCTATAAACAAATATGACCATAGTAATAAATGCAGATTAATCCTTATTTTCAAGTCATAAAACAAGAAGGCAAAAAAAAAAAAATCGTACTAACTCATGTAAATACATTTACACTTGAAATATTCATCCTAAATATCTCATTTAACTCAGGATGGAAATACAGCAATAAATAAATGTCAGTCTGTTGCTGCTTTTATCGTTAACAAACTTGCATCAAGTCCTGCAGAGTTTTTTCTCCTCACACAACATACAGACCCTGCAAGGTAGCCACTATGATTAGTCTGTAGATTTAACGTTAGCAAAAATATGCCTCATTTTACATCTATAACAGGACAGATTATCACACATTTAGGTTCACGTATTTTGCAAAGACAACATGATACCTGTTACAGCTGTGGACAAGTTGATTTTATCCTCAAATGGTGTCCCCATTGAGTTTGTTGATTCCTATAAATATTTGGGTATCTTGGTCGACTCACATCTCTCTTTTAAGCTCCATGTGGAAAACTTGATAAAGAAACTGAAAGTTAAACTGGGTTTCTTTTTCAGAAACAGATCCTGTCTAACCCTGAATGCTAGAAAACGCCTTGTTTCTGTGACTTTCCTTCCCTCAATTGATTATGGTGATATTATTTACATGAATGCTCCTACAAGAACCCTGCAGATGTTGGATGCTGTCTATCATGGTGCACTAAGATTCATAACTGGCTGTGATTATCGTACCCACCACTGCACACTGTATTCACTGGTTAACTGGACATCATTAACTTCACGCAGACTCTCTCACTGGTATATTTTCATCTTTAAATCACTTCTTGGTCTGTTGCCTTCATACATCTCCTCCTACATGTCTCTGCGTGAGTGCAGCTACGGAGTGCGCTCTCAGGACAATATTACCTGCAGTGTTCCCTCAATGAGGACTGAACTAGGCAAAAGGGCCTTCTCCTACTCCGCTCCTGTTTCCTGGAATATCTTACAAAAAGATTTGAAGCTCTCGACCTTGACCTCTCTAAGTGTCTTTAAGAATCTGTTGGACACCTGGCAGGGTCCAATGCTGACATGTTCCTGTTTTTAGTTTTCTACATTGTCTTGGAATTTAGCTGTTTTTTTGTTTTGTTACCTTTTCCTTTTAGCCATCCTAATTGTTAAAAAAAACAAACAAAAAAAACTGTAGTATTCTTTTTTTTATAACTGTTTATTGTTGTTGCTGTTGTCCATTGTTGTCATCTTTCTTTGTTGAAATCAGGTCTCTCTTGTAAATGAGTCCTCAAGGCTCAATGGGATTTACCTGTATAAATAAAGGTTGATTGATTGATGCTACAGCGGGTGTTTTCTCTTCAGACGCTGCAACATCAACGACATGCTGTTGTGGTTACTCCAGTTCTGCTTTGCAGTGGATGCATTTCACTGTTTTGTGTTTTCTGTTTAGCCTAAAATGTTCCCAAACTTTTGATAGGTTTTGTTGTTTTCGGGGCTCTTCTTCTACTCAGTCTCCGTTCCCTCCATAGCTACAAACTTGGCACATACACGTTAGCGGAAGTGCTAGCGGAAGCGCTAGCGTTGTGTAACACAAAAACCTTCCGGCTAGACCACAGTGCTCTGAATAGTTTAACGAAGCTTCAAGGGAGATAAATTTGCCTCAACGATTTTTTGTAATCGAGGTCCTCGAATGATTCGAGGAATCGTTTCAGCCCTAGTGAACACTGGGTGTTCATCTAAGACTGATCTAACTTTGGAGTCAACCTAAATCAACATGATGTCCATAGCCAATTGACCACAGCCAGTGCAAAAATTACCATAACCCATCCAATTTTTATATGATGTAGAAATAAATGACTTAGTCAGTCACTTTAATAGCGTTTGGGCTAAGGTTTGATGTGGTAATAGCTGAGAATCATTCACAACACATCCTCTCAGCACCAACATAACTCGCAAGACCTTGCAGTTGCATTACTGTATGAGATTGTGTATAACAACATCGACTACATTTAACTGGAATGGCTGTAACTTTGTCCAATCTTATCAAATGGTGATTTTAGTTTTAAACTTTTCCTTCCAAATAGTGTGCTAGACTTTTGAAATGAAACATATAGTTTTAAACATTTTTATCCCTTTTTTTGCATTGTTCCCGCTATGCTATTTGTAGGATTTAGTCGTCACATCTAAAGATGAATTGTTTGATTGATTTGTCAATCATTTCTTTTCAGAAAAAAGCTGAGGAGGCTCATAAAATTTTGGAAGGTCTTGGTCCAAAGGTGGAGCTGGTATGTTATTGGTTAAATAACTTAAAAAATAAAAATAAAAAAAGGGATAAAATACTTGTGTATCACTGATTATCTAACAGCTGATGAGTAATTCACCTGGTGGTGTTTTTTTTTTCTTCCAGCCATTGTACAACCAGCCATCGGACACAAAGGTGTACCATGACAACATTAAAACGTAAGTATCAGTATTTGTTTTCTAAATTTTTATGAATATCTTAATGTTGTTCTGATATGTGGATCCTCTCGGTAGAGGAAAGTAACTGACCTCAGTCCTCATAAACCCAGCTGATAATCTGATTGCTGAGTCACCTGACTGAGTTACCTTATTGACTTCAAGGAGGGTGATTAGGGAGAGAGGATGTGTGTGTGCCTGTCTGCATTAGGTGTGTTTAAAGTAGGTTGTGTTGAAGGCCATGTCGTCTGGGACAACCTCCCCCTATCAGTGTGTACCGCAGGAGCAGCCCATCTGGCTGGTCCTTTTATCGTGTTGGAGTGTTTCTGTGTGAACCTGTTGAACAGGCCATGCTCTCAGGGTCAGCACTCTCACTATTTTCTCCCTACTGCCACCGTCATATGTAAACAGGAGTTCCCAGTATTCTGTCCATGTCACACTGCAAATGTTGACCGAATTATAGCCATTCATCTGTTGCCTAAGGCTGATTATGTTATCTATTCATTGGTTTATGACATAATTTTCTGACAGTTCAAAATTTGGTAGCAACATTTTAAACAAAGATCTTCAAGTTCAAGTTCAAGGTTCTTTATTTGTCATACACGCCACATGTGGCACACGAGGTAGAACAAAATTGTGTACACAGGGTCCCAATTACATTCAACAGTAGCAAAAATATAAATTGTAAATTAAACATTACTAAAGATCTAAGATATAAATTAAGAAATACACTAAATACTTAATAGTGCAAAATACGCCAAACAACAGCAGCACGAACATCAGTTTGGAGATGCAGGCTAATGCCAATAACCGATAAAATGGATAAAAATGTTTGATCTTTGTCCACCCCAAAGAATCGAAGAAAACAGCGAATGGAGCCGGGCTTGTTTATTTAGTTCAGCTGTTAACAACCATGAAGCTAAGCTAATCAGATCCACGTTTTATTAGTCTCACACAAGGTTTACATGTGGAGCACTAGTCATAATAATAGTCTTCCTAACATACATTCACATTTTCTGTCCTCCACTATTCACCATAAAGTTATCACATGTGTTACAAAAATATAAATTACACAAAGAAATGCCCTATCCTATTCATTGTTTAACAATCAGTCACGTATGATGGTCAAATTATTATCGACTTAAACAGCATTGCTTTTTGCTTTCTTTTTGCAGTTAAGATTTCAGATAAACAATACATTTCAATTCAGTTCTCTTTTGTTGAGGACGACAAAGATAACGTTACCAACACTGAGATATTTTACCTCTACATTAGATTTATTGTTCAGGATGAAGTTATACAAGGCAATAGCCTATGCTGGGTTATCTAAACGTTAGCTTGCTAACTTGAGAGGCACGTAGCTAATGACAAGCAGATTAAAAGATTGGAGAGAATTTATTGTTGATTTTTATTTTATTTTACAGATCAGTTAAAATAAACTTACCATGCTCTGTTCAGCAAAATACGCTACATAGTATTGCTCCCTGCTTCGGCTGTGCTAAAAGTGAAACTTAAAGTGAATGGACTTGAAAGAAGTCCGCATGCGCCCTCTGCTGAATACATTGTACAGTTACGCCTTTTGCCAGCAAGGACACGGCTTATTCCCAGTGTTTATATCGGTACATAATGGGACAATTATTACTGATATTGATATGTTCTCAAACGGGTATATAGGCTTAAAATATCGGCCCCTACTGATATATCGGTCAGGTATTTATATATATATATATATATATATATATATATATATATATATATTCTGTCTAAATTGGGTGTCGTTTGATAATGAGTTTTCATGACTTAATGAGAATACCTGTATGAATAAAGCTTAAATAAAATAAAAAAATACAATTTAATAAGTTTAACTCTTGACACTCAACTTTTTTAAGTTTTTTGTTTGGTTTCAGGTCAGCATCATTGAGATATTTGCTGTATTAACCTCAGCAACTGTTGTAGGATGAGCATGAAAAAACATCTGGATGATTTTTGTCTTGTGATCTCCTTCAGGCCAGCTGCACCTATTTGGGACACAGAATGCACCATCACTGCACATACAGTTATATAAAGTTAGACATTGAGGGCAAAAATGAAGCACACCCCAAAAAACAAGTTAAAGTGTAAAAAATCAGACCTGACACCAGAGAGTGGCACTTCAACCATGTGTGCAGTCGTTTGCAGTCCTCGTGCATCCTGGAGTTTTTAAAAGCAAAATAAGGAGCTTTACTTTGAAGTTCTTCAATATTCTAACAAAAGAAACAACACGATTTGAATACAGAGTTTGGGGGGGGGGGGTGCTCTGAGGTCACGTTGCTGTTTTTGTTGCTGTTTAAGAGCAGAAATCTGTTCAGGAAAAACAACTCATCCATTTGCACTGAAACGTTCTAGCATTGCAAATGTTCACTCTGGCTTTGTTTTTTTTTGTTTTTTTATGCTGTCTTTATTATGTTGTCTTTGTTGTTTGCTTTTAACACATGAAATTACACACACTCAAGAAATGACCATAACCTTCTGGACTCTAAAGCTCTCTGAAGTTAAATTATTTAATTCATGTCAAGCATGTCTTGTTTGTGATTAAACTGATGTTTTTACCACTCGGTAAAAATAACATGGAGGAAAAAAAACATGGAGGAAAAAACATGATTCTTCAAATAAAACATCTTTTTAAATCCATGTTCCATTTTCTTACAGCTTTAAAGAAACTGTTTTATTGTTCAAACAATAAAATGGCTGCTCAGAAGTTTTACTTATCTTTTAGTTTTTTTTTTTTGGTGGTGGGGGGGTGTGTGTGTGTGAAACTGATAGAAATATTTTTGAGGATTACTCACATCACATAGATAAATTCCACTTATTACTGTTTGTTACACTGACCTGTGGGAACAGCTTTCTATGATTATGACTAAGTGATAATAAAGATAAATAATGTTATATTTATATATGGAAAATATTAGTCCTGTTTATTGTCACTTAAATAGCAATTATAACCTTATTAATAAAAAAAACCTCTTGTCTTATTTAATCAATTTAAATTAATTCAAATAATACAAACTGTTTAAATATTTTCATGACATGTTGTGTTCAGTGTATCAGGAGGTTTTCTAAATGTAAAGCCCAAGAAGTGAAATGTGTTTGTGTTGTTGGAGTTTGGTCTAAAGATCTCCTCTGATGGCCCCCCCCTCTGCCCTCACAGCAGACCCCGTTAATGAGTCAAACTGTTGTTTTTGCTGACTGAATGTTGTTTCGATTCCATTTGGAAACGACCACGCTGTCAGACAACGGGTTAAACCCCCAGCTTCACACTGATGACTTATTCAAAATGTTTTATCAATAATTCAGAGAAGCTTTCACTCAGGGAGGAGTCCCCGTGGAGCATGCAAGGAGAGGGGACTAAAAGAACAAACATTTCCCTGTTCTGCTACAAGAACTGGGCCTGGTAGGAATGACTGCAGGACACAACTGGATAAATGTGTTCTTGACTGAAGGAGCTTTTGATCACCTTTGATCAATTAGAGCTTTTACTCTGATTATTGATGTCTTTGAACTGAGCAAAGTGATCATTCAATGATCTCTCTGATCCATTTAACCAGCTGAAATAAATATTTTCATTTATTGCACAAGAAGTCACAGTAGCTCATATTCAGATTGTGTCGTCTGGTACAACCTCTCCTATCAGTGTGTGTCATGGGAGCAACGCATCTGGCTGGGCCTTTTATCAGGACTGAGTGTTTCTGTGTGAACCTGCTGAACAGGCCACACTCAGGGTCAGCATTCTCACTATTTTCTCCCCACAGCCACTGTCGTATGTAAACAATAGATTTCCCAGTATTCTGTCCTTGTCACACTGCAGAGTTTTCAGATGAGCTGCTGGAATTAAAGTGAACTCATTTTACTCTAGTTGTGAAAATAGTATATTTAGTTAAACTATAGTTTGACATCAATGACTTGTTTTATAGTTAAGTAGTTGGGGAATATATTATTAAAATACTTTTCTGAGTTGCTTTTCCCTTCTTTCAGGAACCAAGTCATGAGGAAGAAGCTGATTTTATTCTTTAAGAGGAGAAACCATGCACGCAAACAAAGGGTAAGAGTCCCAGCTGTTATAAAAGCAAATCGAACGATGTAGTGATTGGACCCGTTTTAAATCTTTATGTCAATGAAACAAACACAAAGGAAGCAGTTCTATTCTTTCCCACAGTCAATAAAACCATATTCACATGTGACTGTGCGTACTCAGATAACCTCTGCTTCAGTGTTGCATCTGTGAACACAACTTGCTGCACAAACACTCTTCGTGCTTGAAATGCAGGGAACAAACTGCGATCTGTCCGATTATAAAATGCAGATGTATTTGAAATTAAAATGCAATTCAGTTTTTCCCCTACCATTATCCAAGGAGGGCACCCTGCCCTGTCAGCAGAGCCGAACACCCTGCCTACTTAAATGCACCACCCGCCACGGCTTCTTGTAATCCTCAACATCGTCAGCATCTTCTACAAACAGGAAAAGCACAGTTGATTTGTTTAAAACTTGTAGGATATAAGCAGAAAAAAAGTTATGCAGCCTTTATACACTTTATATACACAGAGAAGATATAATTTAAGAGGGCATAAACAATAATAAAATGCTGGAAAATTAAGGGTGGGATTCTATGGAAAGTTTATGAACAAATAATGAAACAATGTATCTTTTTATAAATACAGTAAGGGAAATAAGTATTTGAACCCCCTACGACTTTGCAAGTTCTCCCACTTAGAAATCATGGAGGGGTCTGAAATTTTCATCTTAGGTGGATGTCCACTGTGAGAGACTTAATCTTAAAAAAAAATCCAGAAATCACAATCTATGATTTTTTTAAAAATAATTTATTTGTGTGTTACTGCTGCAAATAAGTATTTGAACACCTGCCAATCAGCAACAATTCTGGCCCTCAAAGACCTGTTAGTCCACCTCTAAAAAGTCCACCTCCACTCCACTTATTATTCTAAATTAGAAGCACCTGTTTGAGGTCGTTAGCTGCATAAAGACACCTGTCCACCCCACACAATCAGTAAGACTCCAACTACTAACATTCATTCAACCTTTATTTAGACAGTTAAATCCCATTGAGCCTAGAGGACTCATTTACAAGAGACCTGATTTCAACAAAGAATGATGACAACAATGGACAACATCGACAACAATAAACAGTTATAAAAAGGCATACATTTTTTTTATTTTATTTTACAAATCGGATGACTAAAAAAGGAAAAGTAACACAAAAACAACATGGCTAAGACCAAAGAACTGTCCAACAACACCAGAGACAAAATTGTAGACCTCCACAAGGCTAGAAAGCTGTGGGGCAATTGTCAAGCAGCTTGGAGAAAAAACATCAACTGTTGGAGCAATTATTAGAAAATGGAAGAAGCTAAACATGACTGTCAATCCCCCTCGGACTGGGGCTCCATTCAAGATCTTACCTCGTGGCGTATCAGTGATCCTAAGAAAGATGAGGAATCAGCCCAGAACAACACGGGAGGAGCTGGTCAATGACCTGAAGAGAGCTGGCACCACTGTTTCCAAGGTTACTGTAGGTAATACACTAAGATGTCATAGTTTAAAATCATGCATGGCACAGAAGGTTCCCCTGCTTAAATCAGCACACGTCCAGGCCAGTCTTAGTTTACCCATGACCATTTGAATGATCCAGAGGAGTCATGGGAGAAAGTTATGTGATCAGACGAGACCAAAAAAGAACTTTTTGATCTTAATTCCACTCGCCATGTTTGGAGGACGAAGAATGAAGAGTACCATCCCAAAAACACCACCCCTACTGTGAAGCATGGGGGAAGAAGCTTCATGCTTTGGGGGTGTTTTTCTGCACATGGGACAGGACGACTGTACTGTACTAAGAAGAGGATGACCGGGTCCATGTATTGTGAGATTTTGGGGAACAACCTCCTTCCCTCAGTTAGAACATTGAAGATGGGTCATGGCTGGGTCTTCCAACATGACAATGACCCGAAGTGCATAGCCAGGAGAACCAAGGAGTGGCTCCGTAAGAAGCATATCAAGGTTCTGGAGTGGCCTAGCCAGTCTCGAGACCTAAGCCCTATAGAAAATCTTTGGAGGGAGCTCAAACTCTGTGTTTCTCAGCAACAGCCCAGAAACCTGGCTGATCTAGAGAAGATCTGTGTGGAGGAATGGGCCAGAATCTCGCTGCAGTGTGTGGACACCTTATGGAAAACTACAGGAAACATTTGACCTCTGTAATGGCAAACAAAGGCTATTGTACCAAATATTAACATTGATTTTCACAGGTGTTTAAATAATTATTTGCAGCAGTAACACACAAATAAATTATTTAAAAAAATCATACATTGTGATTTATGGATTTTTTTTTTATATTATGTCTCTCCCAGTGGACATGCAGTTGAGATGAAAATTTCAGACCCCTCCATGATTTCTAAGTAGGAGAACTTGCAAAGTCGCAGGGTGTTCAAATACTTATTTTCCTCACTGTATATATGCAATAATAATAATAATTTTATTTAAAAAGCACCTTTCAGGACACCCAAGGACACTTTACAGCAAGAAACATAAAATAATATTGTGTAAAAACAAACATTGCAAAGACCAACAGGAATAAATTGAAATACAAAATACATAAAACAAAGTAAAAAAGGATAAGCAAGTCTGAAGAGATGTGTTTTCAGAGTAGTCTTGAATAGAGAAAGAGAGTTGGTGTTTTGTAGGTCTTGCAGTAGGGAGTTCCATAGGTGAGGGGCAGAGCAGGTGAAGGCCCTGCTCTCCATGGTGGAGAGGCAGAGGGTACATTGAGGTGAAGCGAAGAGGAGGATCTGAGAGAGCGAGAGGGTATGGAGATGTGTAGGAGGTCAGAAATGTAAGGAAGGGCAAGATTGTGGATAGTTTTGAAAGTGAGAAGAAGAATTTTGAAGACTATGCACAATTTAACCGGGAGCCAGTGGAGCTGCTGCAGGACAGGAGTGATGTAATTATAGGAGGAGGTTTGAGTGATGAGACAGGCAGCTGAGTTCTGGACCATCTGTAGCTCCTGAAGAGATTTGTTAGTGAGGCCATAAAGAAGGGAGTTGCAGTAGTCAATCCAGGAAGTCACAAGACTGTGAACAAGGATGGCAGTGGAGCGGGGTGTGAGAAAAGGACAGAGACTGTTAATATTTCGGAGATGGAAATAGGCAGACCGATTAACATTGTTGATGTGTGAAGTGAAGGAGAGAGTGGTGTCAAAGATGATGCAGAACCTCTTGACCTGAGGCAAGGGGGATAGCAGAGATTTGTTAAGGGTGATGAGAAGATGTTCTGATTTTGAAATAGGGGTTTTGGTACAGACAAGGATGATTTCTGTTTTGTCACTATTTAATTGAAAGAAATTGTTAGAAAACCAGTGATTGAGCTCACCGACACAGTCGGTGAGGATGAAGGGTGGGTGAGTGAAGTTTGGTTTGGTTGACAAATAGAGCTGTGTTTCATCAGCGTAACAGTGGAAATGGACACCAAATTTGCAGAATATGTGATCTAGAGGAAGGAGGTAAATGAAGAGGAGGGGTCCGAGGACAGAGCCTTGGGGCATACCCGTAGAGACTGAGAATGGATGGATTTAAGCTGAATGAATTGAGTGAGGTCAGAGAGATAAGATTTGAACCAGTCTAATGGAGTACTTGAGATGCCAATGGCGGTTAGTCTGTGGAGGAGGATAGAATGGCAGATCATGTCGAAGGCAGAACTTAGGTCAAGTAGAATGAGGCTGGACAGAAGACCAGAGTCAGCAACAAGAAGAAGAAGGTCGTTAGTAATTTTTATTAGAGCTGTTTTGGTGCTATGGTGGTATGTATTATAATAATAATAATAAACAACACTCTAAACAAACTCATTTAAAAATAATAAACTGTTTAATTTTGTCTACATTAAAAAGCTGAAGGCTAGTTTGAGTAGGACTAAACATTGCACTTCCTGCAGGAATATTGTTTATATCTCCCAAAATAAAATAAAACAAAATAAAAATTAAATTGTGTTTTCAATGTTAAATTAGCATCTATGCTAATTGTTGGTCAGCAGCCTGTGATTAATGGGGCTTTTTGGCATGTTATTGTACACACTTTATTATGCACAAATATTAAAATTAGTGTTTGTTTATGTAAAATAGGTCATGATCATTTAATTCTGTCAGTTAACATTTCTCTGTTTTTTTGTTTCACTGCATTTTTGGATAAACATAAGCTTACCAACTGTGTCCTTGTGTAAAAATCACAAACCTGATAATCACAAAAAAGTTAAAATGCATCCATAATAATTTTTAATTGCCCACACATAGTTCCAAAAACTTTTTAGAAGTGATGTTGGGTTTATTGTCTTGTTCAGGGTTAACTTCTCATGTTGTCTATGAACATTTGGGATCAAGTTACTCACTTTTTAGTTACAGCCACCCTGAAGACGCTCTTGGCAAACTGAGGCCTTTTCAGGGAATTCAGTTTGATGCTGAAGATTGTGGAAATTATAAAATTATACAACTGACCTTTTTCCAGGGCAGGAGGTGCCTTGGTTTCCCCTGTTTGTTTGGATGTATTGTGTGAGGCAGTAGCAACTTCTGTATGCAGTAGAAAAACAAATATTGTCAGATCAAAAAGTGTTTCTGAGAAACGACTAGCCAAGCCTCTGGCTGTGTTATCAGTAATTCTGATACTGCTGGATCATCTAATGTTTAAACGCTTGACTGAGTTTTTGTTGCTGTGGGTCAATGGGTCTAACATCTCTGCGGCTGTTCCCCGTCAGAGTCAGACAGACCTTTTTGACACTGAACAAAGGAGGAGTGCTCATGGCCTTGTGCCAACAGGAAAGGGAATTGTCGCCTGCAGCAGAGTTGAAATGAGGTTGTTTAGACCTCGTCACCATGTTTCTGTAGCTTCACTAAACATTTTAACTCTCACATCTGAGCTTTTACTGCTTCTTTTGTTTGGGTTTCTATCTCTTATATTAGGCAAACTGTGTCTTTATTTGATGATTAAAAAGTGAACTTCTTTAATTAAACTACACGTCACTGGACGTTTTCAAGGCCTTTTGAAAACCCACCAGTTGCTTCAGAACAGACTGTGAGTGGGTCTGAAGACAGAATCTGACACAAACCCAGAAGATACACAGCTAGTTACTGGGCAGCAGGTTCTATCTTCTGCTCCAAACTGCCTGTCACCGTGTTTACCATTTTGTTCACATTTAAAGATAAATTGCTAACCTATTTATTGGGGCATAGATCCTCTCGCCTTCAGAGATGTCATGATCACTGTTGCTTGGTAGGATGATGATTAGATTTCTTTCAGATTTGCCTTTTTTATTTTACTTATTCTAACATGGCAACAGATAAATCCACAACTGAGTTGGTTTGTATGGTGATCTGTTCTTTTTAAGGTTAAACTTTTCATCAAGTTCCTTGAAAAATAACTTCTTGTAGCAGAAATCTTTGATTGGATGCTTTGTTCAATCCACACAATGGTGTATTGCTTGGTTGTTACCAGGGACAGTTTTCACTGTCGCACATCATTCTTATGTTGCATTATGTGCAATGGAAGAACATAGAAAACAGCAGAGAAAAAAAAAGACTTAAGAAAGCCAATTGTTTGAGGCAAGAAAGGCAGAAATCTCACTGAATCAACTCTTCACAACAGTGTGATAAGAACAAGAAGTCTGTACAAACAGACCAATGAGTTTCTGAATGAAACAATACTCGATGCGGACACGATCAGTTTTTACAATGAGACCAACAAGCAGAATCCTCCTGCACAAACGGAATACAAAGAAAACATCAGACAGGAGTTGTCTGTGCAGCAGATAGAAAACCTCTTTGCATCTTTATGCACAGATTAACCACAAGCTTCAAAAATAAATTTTGTCTTGTTTTACTGATGCTGACTTGCTCTTTTAAAAAGAATCATGGGTTGTTGAACTGCCACATTTCCAACAGAGAATGCACCTTATCTCAACTGTAATGAGGAGCTCACCTCCCTTCAGTCTGATTCAGTGTTAAAGAAGTATTTCCAAAATAACACAGAAAGTTTGGAACTGTCAAAGGACAAGGAGTGACACTTGAGTTCTGCAAAAAAGAGAGACGCAGACTTTTATCTACTGGAAGTGAGAAGAGATCAAGTAAAAAAATTAGGAACTACCGGTGTAGACGTGTAGGTCCAGTTACTCGATTAATTGACAGATTATCTGCAACTACTCAATTATTAAAATATCTGTAATATTTAGGGCTGGGTACCTTTCTGAAAAAAAAAACAAAAAAAACTGTATCGGTACAGGTGTCGGTACCTTCACTTCAGTGTCAGTTCCTGGACGTTTTTTTTTTCGTACCAATTTTGTAATTAATATTCTAACAAAAAGAAAGTTATGTTACACATTACAGTACAAATCGTGAGTTTTATTTTTTAACTTTGGTATTTCTATTCCAAGCAGTTTTCTTACATAAAAATAAACAAATAATTTTCCAGTCAAAAGAACAGTTGTAAACCAGTGACATGTCAGTGTCTAATGTTCACTGCTACACACTGAGGACTTTTTCACTTAACAGTTTTTCTTCAGAAACATAAACCTGTCTGCTTTCTCTGGACACAAACAAGCCCGCTCTTGGCTGATGGTGTCTTCAGCAGTAGGAAGTATTCACTCTGAGGGTGTGGATGATGATTGTTGCACACACTGATACCTGGTTATCAGTTTGATATCATTGGCATAGTGTCCCTGACATCCCACCAGCAGGTCACTGGATTCACTGAGGTTAGGGTTGATGCAGACTTTTGCACCTCTGTGTCTCTTCCTGAATCTTCTCTGTGGTTCTCTGGGGTTTAGGGCTCTTATCATCTCCCCAACTAGCATTAGAACACAAAACATCAACAATAACATGGTTGTGTTCTTATTGCTCAAAAATCATTATCTAGGCTGAGAAATAAAAGCTTAACTGATCAACAATATCCTATACAGCTTAACTTACCTCCAACATGCAGCCTCCACTGTAGTTAAGAGCAGCAAACTTTTAACAACAAAGTTTGTGACTGTCCTGTGGCCCCCACCTCACTTTTCTTTTGTCTGTTCTTCTCACATCAGGGTCTGAACCTCCTGTGAGGAGAACATTAACATAAACAGTGAACATTAGTGAACTGTTTAAGCAGCTGACTGGATGGATGAGCACATTTTTACAAGCTAAGCTTTATCTGTTACTGTCAATCTTTAGTTAGCTTCTGATTTTAGCTAGCTACTTAGATACCCATAAAATAAATTTACACACTAATATCTTAAAGTTAGCATTACATGGATTCTAGTTTAATTCACCGCGATGCACGTATTAAGCTACAGTAACGTTAACAAACATAAACTTACCAGCTGAAATTCCAGACACAGCTCCATCCTCGGAGTTCTTTGATGAAGAGGAGTCCAGTCGTGGAGATAATGAATCAGGCCGTTCATGCTCTCTAACACTCACAGGCTGACTTTAACGCTGAGAGGAGGAGGGGTGGAGGCTACTGTCCTCCTCCTCTCCTCGCAGAAAAACACGAAGCAACTTTCTGCTCATAAATTGAAGCCGTTCGACAACACACGTGCTGCACACATGTACTCCGTCTGTGGGCGTCACCAGCACCATAGACATACATTATACATAGATTTATTACGGCAGCTCTATACAACTCTGGGTGTAAACATGTAGTCTGTTTGTCATATGTCTGGTGTTTTACTTGCCTGTATGCTAAAAACACGTGACACATTACAGCCAATACCAAAACTTGACACCGAAAAAAGAGTGACGTTTCAATCCATACACCGACCGGTGCAGTTCGGTCGGTGCTATAAAATAACCTCGGTTCGGTACTCAGCCCTATTAATATTGGTAAATATAGGTAAGCTGCTGCCTGCTGTGCACTAGTGAATCTTTCTCAAGATGTCCTTTAGAAAAAGAGATGGAAAGCTTTAATTGTCATTCCACATACACTGCCTGGCCAAACAAAAGTCGGCACCAAAAAAAAGTCACACACTAATATTTTATTGGACCGCCTTTATCTTTGATTGCAGCATGCATTCTCTGTAACATTGTGTCGATAAGCTTCTGCAATGTCACAAGATCTATTTCCATCCAGTGTTGCATTAATTTTTCACCAAGATCTTGCATTGATGACTAGGCACTAGGCATGATGGGTGCATCACTTCACCTGCCTCACTTCTTACCCTGATGCACCCATCACTCTGGAACATGGTAAATCTGGACTCATCAGACCACATGACCTTCTTCCATTGCTCCAGAGTCCAATCTTTATGCTTCCTAGCAAATTGAAGCCTTTTTTCCCCAGTTAGCCTCACTGATTAGTGGTTTTCTTTAGGCTACACAGCTGTTCAGTCCCAATCCCTCGAGTTCCCTTCACATTGTACGTGTGGAAATTCTCTTGCTTTCACTATTAAACATAGCCCTGAGTGCTACTGTTGTTTTTCTTCTATTTGATTTCACCAAACGTTTAAGTGATCACCGATCACGATCATTCAGGATTTTCTTCCGGCTGCATTTCTTCGTTGAAGACGAAGACGGTCCCCACTATCCTTCCAGTTTTTAATAATGCGTTGGACAGTTCTTAACCCAAATTTAGTAGTTTCTACAATCCCCTTAGATGTTTTCTCTGCTTGATGCCAATCAAACAGACTGAGATCTTTTCCATGACCACACCATGTGTCTTTCAACATGGTTGTTTAAGAAATGAGAAGCAACTCATTGCACCAATTGTGGTTAAATAACTTTTTGCCAGCTGAAAGATAATCATCCGTGCAGTAATTATCCAATAGGAGGCTCGTACCTATTTGCTTAGTTAAATCCAGGTGGCAACTTTTTTTTTTTGGCCAGGCGGTGTATAATGTATACAACAAAGGAGTCGCTGCCATTAAAACGGTGCCAATTGATTAATTAAAAAATAACCGCAGAAACAGACATTGCACCATTAGTTCATCTTTGAAAGGATTAAAAATTAAGTAAAACATTATTTGAGGATTTTGGCAAAATTTCCACTTTAAAAAGATTTGGATTGTCAATTTTACTGTTAAAATGCAGCAAAAAATGAGAAACAGATTTTATTATCCTTTACATGCCAGGATAAAGCTCAAGAGCATGTTAACACAACGTGAATATGTTATTAATCCAATTCTCTTTAAACTGCCTATGAAAGCTTATAGTTAAAATTGAAAATAGTCATCAGTGATGTTGATAATGTTAACCACCTCTGTATGAACAGCCACTCGTGATACAGCTCTTTGTTTATTGTTTTTGTATCAACAGGAACAGAAGATCTGTCAGCGCTATGACCAGTTGATGGAGGCCTGGGAGAAGAAGGTAGAACGTATGGAGAACAACCCCAGACGCAAAGCCAAGGAGAGCAGAACACGAGAGTACTATGAGAGGCAGTTCCCAGAGATCCGCAAACAGAGAGAGCAGCAGGAGCGCTTCCAGAGGTAACAAGAACTAAAACTAATGTTCATTTAGTTCTTTTTAGCAATTTCTGTGAGGTCAGGTTTTTGTATTTATATTCACTCATGTTTTTGTCAAAGTTCATGCTTGGTAGCATGAACCTTGATGTCTTGAACCACTTTGACTGTGGCTGCTTGGGAAGAGTTGGCGGGGGAGAGGACAGCCCCCAGAAACCATCTTATCACCAGCAAACTGGTTGGTCCGCTATAAAAGTGTACTGCTTGGTGGGGAAAACAGTATGTTTGTGACTCCTTAGACTGATGAAGCCCTTTGGATGAAGGTTGAAACGCCTCTCAACAAAAAAAGAAACTATCCAAATGACCATGTTGGACTCATGTTTTTACTTTTCAGTGTTTAACCTCCCCACCCCCAACTAAAAAAAAACTACAATCAGAAATAATTTAAATTAAATCAAATGATCAAAAATATTTCTGGTGTTATTTTTTCATATGCCCATCGATGGCAGACATATTTTGTTATAGTCTCCGTACATCTGTAAACTTTCTCTCGTCCTGCCCATAACGACTGATCTGCTAAAGAAGAAAAAAAAAAACTTTACACATATGCATCATCACTAGATGTGGAGTGTCACATACACTTTTATCACCCCAGCTCCAAGATCAAGATTACAAATTAAGGTCAAAGCTAAAACAAGATATTGGCTTGTTCGGATCATATTTTCTGATCTGCTCAAGATATCTTCAAGGCAAAGTTTCTTTGTCGTTCCATCACATGTGATATATGGTGGAACGAAATTGTGTACACAGGGTCCCAGTTACATCCCACAAAAGTATAAATTGTAAAGAAAAACAATAATAAGATCTAAGATATGAACTAAGAAATACACTAAACTAAGAATACGCTAAACACTAGTAGTACAAAAACAATGCGCCGAACAACAGCAGCATGAACATGAGTCTGTGTGAGCAGATGAGTACAAATGAACACAGCGACAAGACATAAAACGGCAGCATAAGCGCAGCAACATGGATAATCAGCAGCACATATCAGCAATCAAGTGGCATTACAGTGATTTTTTTTTCACAGTGATTATCCTGATTAGAGATTCATGAGTCTTACAACTTCAGGGTAGAAGCTGTTCCTCAGTATAGTGGTTCTACACTTAATGCTCCTCAACCTCCTGCCTGAGGGGAGCAGGGCAAAAAGTGTGTGTGCTGGGTGAGTGGGGTCCTTCATGATGCAGGTGGCCCTCTTTCTGCATCTGGAGGTGTAGATGTCTGTGATGGTGGGGAGGCTGACTCCAACAGATTTCTGTTCAGACTTCACCGCTCTCTGCAAAGCTTTTCTTTCTGCAGCTGTGCAGCCTTCATGCCACACGTTGATGCTGGAGCACAGGATGCTTCTTTATCGTTCATCGAAAAAGCTTATGAAATTGTACACTACTATATGGTGTGCTGCATAATCTTTCCGTCACCCCAGCTTCAAAGTTAATGTCACAAATCAAGGGCAAATGTTATACAAGGCATTGTCTTGTCCAGGTCGTTGCTATAGATTGCTGTATTGCTGTATTTGTCAATGGACGTATACTGTGCTATATGCAACATTCTTGTTTTTAAATTTAGTAAAGACAATTGTTTTGGCAAAGAAAACATACTTCTTCATTCATGAACATGTCTTTTTTGTAATTCGTGTCTAAAATTACATGAAACAACCATCAAAATGTTCTGTTTTTAAACACTTCTGGTGTAGACTTACAGGTTTACACAACCCTACGTTACTGAATTCTTTATTATAACCAAACAACATACAGCTGCTGCATTACGGTAAACAAATAAAATCTGATTTTTAGGGCAGTATTGACTTAATAATCATTTCACACAATGCTAAACTGAAGTACCTCCACACGTGCTAGCATTTTTTTAATACACTGATAATGTTTCCCTTGTGGCCATGCTGAGATATTAAAATGTTTTGAAGAACTCTTATATAAACACAGTACACTGGGTGGTGTGTGAGACTCTGAGTACTTTAGGAAAATATGGGAAACAAAATGATGGCTCAGTGTCTGGATGGAGATTTGGGGTTTTCATAGAAATATTTAAGATGTCAGCACTGTTCATCACACTGTACTGTGAAGGAAGAAGCAAGCTATAATAACTCTTAAAGAATGTCCTCCAAATTTTGGGTACAATGTTCTAAGTTTTGAAAGTTCCAAAGATCAATTGTGAATAAAGATAAAAGCTGAATTTAAAGTGATATCATCAAACAGATTTGATGCAACATTTAATATAAATGTGTCATGTTATTTTTGGGGAGGGGTGGTGCAGAGGTTTGACTCCCTGGACCGACAACATCAAAATGTGGGTGGGAAAGATGAAACACCCACACCTGCCTCCATCCTCATTCGTCCCACTCTGGGCCCTTGAGCAAGGCCCTTAACCCCCACCATTTGCTCCCATGAACGCCCTAGATGTCAGTTCTCTGCTCCGCACAGAGTGCTGTGGTAGCTTTGTGGTCTGTGGTTGCGTCAGGAAGGGCATCTGGCGTAAAAATAATAGCCAAGTCTTCGTGCAAGTTAGTTCGCTGTGGTGACCCCTGAAGAAGGGAGCAGCTGCAAGGAAATTAAAAACAGAACAAAAAAAAGTTATTTTTGGTAAATCAACACGTTGCTGTTTTCTGCAGGGTTGGACAAAGAGGGACGGGTCTTTCTGCAACAATTGCAAGAAGCGAGCATGAGATTTCAGAAATCATTGATGGTCTTTCTGAGCAGGAGGTAAGTACTTTTTGCTTTTTGTTGTATAATGTGCCAATATTATGTTGTGTTCTTTAAGATGACATTTTCACTGAATAATAATCTAAGTGGAGCGTGGATGGTCTTGTCAAGGTCTTCAGGGTCATGTTAAAATCACAGTGGGCTCCTCATTACACTTGATAGAATGTGATGTGTTCATGATGGTCCTTGTCCTGGTTGTAGCGTTGTAGCAGCGTATCCATTATGTGGGTCTCATGCCCACAGACGTGTGTCAAGATTTTGTAACAGCACTGATCACACTAGGCTCACGTTGGTCTTATGCATGCCTACAACCTCATTAAACCCACACAGTGTTGGCATGCAACACCCTTGGTGGTCTGCAACGTGCATCATGTTGTGCCACTACACTTGCTGCATCCATTGGGTTTCAGTATGCTCTTACCACATGGCTGAAACAATCAATACACATTCTCTACATGTCAGTTAATACTCCGTCTTTCTCAGCTGTCTTCGGTCTGCCATTTGGACAAGTCAAGAAGCATTTGTTCTCATTATGGTCAGAATGGTAGATGAAGAAGTGTGGATCTAGTCAAAGTACTGCACTTAAAACTCCTCCATCGGCATCCTCTCATGTTGCTTGAGCTTGATTGCGGCAATTACCTCATCAAGTACAGCTTTATTGGTGATCTTTCTTCCTCAACACCAAGGCTGAAACTGACTGTGGATGCCTGGAACCCTTCCATATATACAAGGAAATTTCACAGATCATGCATGACAAGGTCATGGAAACAACAGCACAGATGTAATACCTGTAGTGTAGGAATGCGCGATATAAACGGTATACGGTAGAAACGATAGAAATTTAGCCTACGATAGAGATCTGTCTTCTACCGGCTAACCACAATAATGCTGTGTCTGATGTAAAATCAGAGTTGTCCGTTTAATCGTTACTTTTTTTTAGTTGAAAACTGTGCACAAGTGGCGTTAGTCTTTTCTTCGAGCGCTAAGTAGTGAAGCTACAAGCTAACTACAGCCGGCTTGCCGTAGTGTTGCCGTATTCTGACGCATGCGCAAAACGATGTGTTCCGTCAAAAGTTTTTTTTTTTTCCCCTCGAAAGTTAAAGTAAGCGTTGGTTAGCTTTAGAGAAACCTGCTCTCTGATCTTTGAAAAGAATGCTGTGTTGTGTGATTTTACTGCGAGACCCTCTGGTCAAAGCCACAGACTCATTTTGTGTCAGCTCTCCATTACAGTGGAAGGAGACGCCAACTAGAGGTTTGGAGGGTGAAGTGTTTCAGTGTAAAATGCTGCTCTCTTGCTGTTCATTTCTTAAGTAAAACTGGAAACTGTTAATTTTATTTTGTTTAAAACATATGGCTAAAACTACATTTGATATCTTTTGCACTGTTTTGCACTACAAGAAAGAAATCCAATACTTGATTTGTTTATTATTTAAAAACTCTCTGGACCTAGTAGTGGAATTTTCTTAATTCAAAATATAATGGCAAAAGGACACCCTATGCTTTTTTTTTAGCAAGTTTTATACCAAAAACATATCGCGATATATATCGTTATCGCCTATCGCCACCCTTCACAATACATATCGTGATATGAATTTTATGCCATATCGCACATTCCTACTGTAGTGGTAACATTGTGTTAGCATAGCAGTAAGCTTTCATTCTGACATGGTCCATAAAAATTGTCCCTCAACAGAATCTGTGACACAATACTATTGTGGGCAAATGTGGTAGTATCATCATAGAAATATGCAACTGACGTGGAGTGTGGTGAGAGCATAGAATAACAACTCAGGTTGGGGGAAAATGAGATTTCATCTTCCCTTCGTATAACTAACATATTAAACTTCATAGTAAATTCCATGGATTTGCTATGACTTTATTGAATAAAGTTCTGTTGGTCAATAGAAAGCTTGTAGGATGACACAGCTACAGTGGGAAACAATAAGTGCATCAGCTTTGTACAACTCCGATATGGACTTGGACATCAAAAGACTGTGGAAGAACACATAACAGACACAGACAGCATCCCCACTAACTCGGGAGCCAGGCAGAAAGAGAAATCCCACACAAGACAGGCTCTAGAGCAATGTGGATATCCTAACTGGGCCTTCCTGAAAGCAGAGAAGAAACCCAAACAGGACTCCAGTCAGCCAGTAGGTGAAAAGGAGGAACCCAGACCAGTGGTCATTCCGTATGTTGAGGGAGTATCAGAGAAACTGAGACGTTTATTTTCTAAACATAACGTCCCAGTGGCTTTTAAACCCCAAAATACATTACGGCAAAGACTGGTTCATCCCAAAGATCCAGTCCCCCGGCACAAACAGAGTAATATTGTGTATGCTGTTCAGTGTCAGGAGGGCTGTGATCAGTCTTACATCGGGGAAACTAAACAGCCACTGGCCAAAAGGATGGCCCAGCACAGAAGATCAACATCATCAGGCCAGGATTCTGCGGTCTACACTCATCTCCAGGCCAGCGGTCACTCTTTCAAGGATGAAGATGTTCACATCCTGGACAGAGAGGAACGATGGTTTGAGAGAGGAGTAAAGGAGGCCATCTTTGTGAAAAGAAATCGTCCATCATTAAACAGGGGTGGAGGCCTCCGGGTTCAACTGTCCCCCTCTTACAATGCTGTGATTGCAAGTATCACTCAGCCCTCTGTGAATAGTAAACAGCCATCAGTGTGCTAATGATCCATTGTTAGGCTGATGGTCATTCTTGAGCATGTGATCAGCTGGTTTTGGTTGTCAGCAGCAAACTGGTTGATCCACTCTGAGACGGTGCTATTTAAGAGACTGAGCTGAAAACAGCACCTCAGACTGAGGAAGTCTCTCGGATGAGAGACGAAACGTTTCTATATTTTTTTGCTTTGTTTTGTTTTTTGTTTTTTTGAATGTCCAGAGGACCAGATTGAACTTTTTTGGATCTTTCTACCTGGATTATTGAGCATGCATTAGGATATGGAAGAACACATAAGTTCCCAAACTGGACTAAACTCATTTTATTAGCTGCAGCTAAAAATGACAATGAAAAATATACCAGTTTTGCTCAATTTTGTTGAGAAATAAGGAAGTTATGCAGTTTTGAAGAAAAAAAAAGATTCTAATTTCTCCAGATGACTAGATCAGATAATCCTGTATCTAGAGCTTCAAAAATCACTTTCTGCCAACAGATTGTCATGAAAGTTGTTCAGAAGGTAGAAAAGAGTTTATATTATTTCTATATACTTTTTAATAGGGATGCACAATATTGGATTTTTGGCCGATATGTTAAAACTTATTCGGCTGATAACCGATGCCGATATTTTATATACGTTCCTTTGTCAAAACATAGCCCTCTTATTTAGGCTTATTTGCTACAAAAATTGTGTAACAGCTGTAAAGAGTTGGTGAGATATATTCAGTAACAGCCATATGATATGCATAGCACTTTAATTTATATTAAATGGGAAGTGTTTAATGTTATTTATTAGCATTAGTCACCTGCGATGCTGTCTCACTTGTGGAGGCTTGTTCCAGGTTTGTAGCTGCAGTGTGGGATCCTCTGCACTCCTGTGCATGAAGGACAGACTTTTTAAGTCAAAGTTTTTGTCTATCCATTGTCCCATAAGACTAATCATGCTAACGGGGCTAACACAACGTCCAAATGTTTGTGGTAAAACTCACCCAACAAGTCGTGCTATCGGCTATTAGCTTCTCGGTGACATCGGAAATGATGGCTGTTACGTCGGAAAAATATCTTCGACTGCGGACGATGTAGTGAGGCTCAACGTAGTCCATAAATCTTCGGAATCTGACATTCTCACCAACGAAAAATAAAACTTCCACACCGCAGACATTTTGAATTTTCCTCTCCGCCATGAGATCAGGTAGGTGCACTTGACGTCATTGCGTTGCGCTGCAACTTCCATCACATTTTGCTGCCGCTGCAGGCAAAACCAGCGCCTTTTATATCGGTAAGTTATTTTGATGGAATGGCCGATGTCCGATATTGAACTTAAACGCTAATATCGGCCGATACCAATACCATGCCAATAATATCGTGCATCCCTACTTTTTAATATATCTTATTCAGCTGATGTTTGACTTTTGATAGCAGAACTTGAGCCAAATGCGTGAGCTCACCTGGTGATCAAATTGTTTCACTACAGTATTCACTCATCAAATTCCAGGGTAATTTATTATAAAAAGACTAAAATAATTTTTCTGCTCCTTTATAAAAACTCATCATAATGGCTTGAAACATCAAAGGGTGCAAACTTGTGTCTATGGAACAACTTCATTGTATATAAACAGTTACCAAACTGACACACTCTCCAATGGGAAAATGTATATTTAGGAGAATGGATTTTATTTTTTACTAGTATGAAGATCTATGTAAACCGTGCAGCGACTACTCAAACAAGGGAGACAGTTTTCTGTTGGACCAACAGTGACTATTTTCACCATGTTCCCCAGAACAACGAGAAACAGATGAGACAGCTGTCAGTCATCCCTCCCATGATGTACGATTCTGAGCAGAGGCGCGTGAAGTTCATCAACATGAACGGCCTGATGGACGACCCCATGAAAGTGTACAAAGCACGGCAGTTTATGAATGTTTGGACAGAGCACGAAAAGGAGATCTTTAAGGAGAAGTGAGTTTTCTTTTTTAATACAGGTGAAATTATCTTGTCCCTGTGTCTCTCTGTAGGGCACAGAGGACCTGTGTACTTTAAAGATGTTATAATGAGGCGAAAAAAGATTTTATTTTGGCACTTTGTCTTTTCAGGTTCATTCAACACCCCAAGAACTTTGGCCTTATTGCCTCTTATCTCGAAAGGAAGGTACTGTCATCTCATGCTCATTTTTATTTCAGTGACGTGTTAATCTGTTCAGTGTTTCCCCTACCATTATACAACCGGGGCGCCCCGTCAACAGAACCGAGCGCCCCGTCTACCGAACCCCACCCCCCACCTCCACCCACCTGTCGGCACTGACGTAACGCTAAAGTAGCAGCTTGCAATGTAGGTGCACTAGCTAAAAAGCTAAAGGCAGCCTCTTCTTTCATGTTGAACTCTCACCCTGAACGCACCCCCACCACTCGAAAACTGTTGGTACAAACAGTGCACGGCTCAGA